GGGAGGACTGGATATCCACGTGCAAAAGAATGATTGGACCCTTATCTCATACCATATACAAAAATTAACTCAAAATGCAGTCAAATGCTCTACCCCTGAGCTATACTCCCAGTAAAAATTATCTCAAAATGGATCAAACACCTATATGTAAGAGCTAAAACCATAAAACCCTTAGAAGAAATCATAGGGATAAATCTTCATGATCTTGGATTTAGCAGTGATTTCTTAGATGTCATACCAAAAGTACAAGCAGCAAAAGAAAAAAATAGGTAAATTGGACTATATCAAAAGTGAAAACTTTTGTATATCAAAGAACATGTCAAGAAAGTGAAAAAAGGCCGGGCGCGGTGGCTCACGCCTGTAATCCTAGCTCTCTGGGAGGCCGAGGCGGGCGGATTGTTTGAGCTCAGGAGTTTGAGACCAGCCTGAGCAAGAGCGAGACCCCTTCTCTACTAAAATTAGAAAGAAATTAATTGGACAACTAAAAATATAAATAGAAAAAATTAGCCAGGCATGGTAGCACGCACCTGTAGTCCCAGCTCCTAGGGAGGCTGAGACAGGAGGATCACTTGAGCCCAGGAGTTTGAGGCTGCAGTGAGCTATGATCAGTCTCCTGTACTCGAGCCTGGGCATCAGAGCAAGACTCTGTCTCAAAAAAAAAAAAAAGAAATTAATGATCTTTTCACATGGAATAATTTTTCATCAGGAGATCTATATTTGAAAATGATTCAGTGTCCAGCATGAGGTCACCCTCTGTTTGATACTTGTTGCGTCAGGAAGTATTTAGTGAGAATCTTCTTTGTGCAAGGCACTGCTCTAGGTGCTAAGTATCAAGCAATTTTAATTTTATTTCTTTTATGTTTTGAACATAACCAAAGTCTCTTCTCTCGTGGAGTTTCCCTCCATGTGTAAAATGCTAACAGAGCTTTAAGAAAGGCTGTACTTCAGCTTAAAAAGTTCCAGAGAGAAGGCATGTAAGAGGTAATGTTTCCCAAAGTGGACCTGGGGACACTAGTCAAGTGTTCTGTGGTCAAATAAATTGGTGAAACACTGCATTCTATATCCTGTCCCCTCACATCTGGATATCCATAAAATATTCAACATATTAAAGGCACAGTTGTCCTGCAATTAAAGTAAAAAACCTATTTGATGTATTTCCTTAATTATTTGACCACAAAATTCTTTTTTATTTTTAACATCTGTTACTGCTCGATGGAATTAGTTTAGTATGAACAGACTTTGGGAAATGCTGCTATAGAGTCATTCTGTGAGGAGAGGCTAAAGGTTTGACGTGGGAAAGAGAAAGCAAAATATTTTATCATTCTATGTAGAGTTCTCTGACAGAATATTAGAACAAGAATGTTAAATTACAGTGATTTGATTAGATTTGTGGAGGAATTTCTAGACAATGAAGTTGATTAAAGTCAGTAACCAGAGACTGTGGAAGCTGTTTTTGTAGAAAGGTTTATCAATAGCCGCTTTGGGCGAAGGGGGCTCATGTAGAAAGTTGCCTATAGGTGGGGCCTGTTGAGTGTTCATTGGGGTTCTGTAATTTGTTGCTTTTATGGAAAGTTATTTTTTTTCTTACTTGCAGGTAAATTTTTCTCTTGAATAGAATCAAATATTTTTAAAATTATGGCTTGTGAGCAGATGTTGTTTATGGTCAGCACACACTTGCTTTCAGCTAGACTGATAAGAATTTGACCTCAACCTCAGTTTACTTTTTTAAAACTAGAGACAACTTAGATTTGGAAAACATGGCTGTTAATCTGGTTAATAGGATAAAGTCAACATTTTCTTATGATCAGAACATCACAGTAACTGGCGATCATTTCTAGATTGAATGCACTGACTGTAACTCCACTGTCTTGCAGGTATGATTTTTAATGAACGCGATCAGGAGTTGAGAGACTTGGGCTATCAGAAACACGCCTTTAATATGCTTATCAGTAACCGCTTGGGCTACCATAGAGATGTGCCAGACACAAGGAATGCCGCGTATGTTCCTTATTAATTTCTGTTAATACATTTTAATAACACAATGCTTTTAGTGTCAGCATAAAAAGTCCTGAGGATGGTGTTCACATTTTGTGGTTAGGTGTCATTATTCAGCTTATTAGGACACCTGAGACAGATTTTCACTTCTGTTATACTTGAAGTCACATGGTCTGAAGATTGTACTAACAAAGTTCTAGAGCTTGCTATGTCTCTTTTGACATTTCAGATCATGTGGGAAAGAGGAGGGAGGGTGCTAATTAAATAACCTGAGCATAAGTTTGTTTAAAATGTTTTGGATTCACAGCAAAAAGAAATTAAAATCAGTGAAGTTTACTGATAATACCACTTTTCTGTTTCATTATTTTTATTCCTTAACACA